TCATACAAATGTGACGTACATTGTTACTATGACAGTACGTGACGTAACACGGAGATGAGGTATCACTGTTACTATGTATGTAATTATATGACATACAAATGTGACGTACATTGTTACTATGACAGTACGTGACGTAACACGGAGATGAGGTATCACTGTTACTATTTAGGTAATTATATGACATCATACAAATGTGACGTATATTGTTACTATGACAGTACGTGACGTAACACGGAGATGAGGTATCACTGTTACTATGTAGGTAATTATATGACATCATACAAATGTGACGTACATTGTTACTATGACAGTACGTGACGTAACACGGAGATACTGTATCACTGTTACTATGTATGTAATTATATGACATCATACAAATGTGACGTATATTGTTACTATGACAGTACGTGACGTAACACGGAGATGAGGTATCACTGTTACTATTTAGGTAATTATATGACATCATACAAATGTGACGTACATTGTTACTATGACAGTACGTGACGTAACACGGAGATACTGTATCACTGTTACTATGTAGGTAATTATATGACATAATACAAATTTGACTTACATTGTTACTATACAGTACGTGACGTAACACACAGTTGTTGTACATGTATCACTATTGCTATGAATAATATGACATCATACGAATTTTACATACATTGTAACTATGACAATACGTGACGCAACTCAGATGTTGATGTATCATTGTTGCTGTGAATATATGACATCATACAAATTTGACGGTACATTGTAACTATGACAGTACGTGACGATACACGGATATCACGTGTATCTGTTTCCACGAGCGTACATCACGCGACACGGGGATGCTATGATATTGTTACTTTGACAGAAAATGCACATCCCCAATAAGTACACATCATATAGAGAAAAATCGATAGCTTGACTGCTTCATAACAAAAAAACAAAATTAGGAAAACGATTATAAGCCATCTGGAGGCCTGATTCGTATGGAAGTGTATGCAACAAGACTTGGTCTTGAGACCGTAAGTGGTGTTTAAGTCATTGATAACGTTTTCCATATTCATGAGTTACAGATTTTGATGTAGGTGAGCCATAACCTTTCATCTCGGATTTATTCTAAAACGTCTTTCATGAATTATCTTTAGTAGCCAAAGCTGTCAATTTGTAATATTATAAATTTTGTATTGACACATTTCCCAATGTGTAGTATTCCACTCACACATATGTTTCGGAACACTTTAAACATGGACAAAGTTGCCATATGGTGCGTTAAATATTTACTGTGGCATTCTGTATCGAACCTTGTTCGTATCTCTAGTGATTATTTTACGGCTTAAGGTGGCTGACTTTTACTGTTGGACTATCAGTCCCCAATGTTGGCCGTAATTAAACTTGTAGCTGGACTATCAGTCCCCGAGGTAAGCCGTAACCTTGTAGCTAGACTATCAGTCCCCGAGGTAAGCCGTAACCTTGTAGCTAGACTATCAGTCCCCGAGGTAAGCCGTAACCTTGAAGCTGGACTATCAGTCCCCGAGGTAAGCCGCAACCTTGTAGCTGGACTATCAGTCCCCGATGTAAGCCGTAACCTTGTAGCTGGACTATAAGTCCCCGAGGTAAGCCGTAACCTTGTATCTGGACTATCAGTCCCCGAGGTTAGCCGTAACCTTGTAGCTGGACTATCAGTCCCCGAGGTTAGCCGTAACTTTGTAGCTGGATTATCAATTCCGAGGTTAGCCGTAACCCTGAAGCTGGACTATCAGTCCCCAATGTTAGTCGTAACCTTGTAGCTGGACTATCTGTCTACGAGGTTAGCTGTAATCTTGTAGCTGGACTATCAGTCCCCGATGTTGGCCGTAACTTTGTAGCTGGATTATCAGTCCTGAGGTTAGCCGTAACCTTGTAGCTGGACTATCAGTCTACGAGGTTAGCTGTAATCTTGTAGCTGGACTATCAGTCCCCGATGTTGGCCGAAACTTTGTAGCTGGACTATCAGTCCCCGATGTTGGCCTAACCTTGTAGCTGGACTATCAGTCCACGAGGTAAGTCGTATACTTGTAGCTTGTCTATCATTCAACGATGTTAGCCGTAACCTTGTAGCTGGACTATCAGTGCCCGAGGTAAGCCGTAACTTTGTAGCTGGACTATCAGTCCCCGATGTTAGTCGTAACCTTGAAGCTGGACTATCAGTCCCCAATGTTAGTCGTAACCTTGTAGCTGGACTATCTGTCTACGAGGTTAGCTGTAATCTTGTAGCTGGACTATCAGTCTACGAGGTTAGCTGTAATCTTGTAGCTGAACTATCAGTCTACGAGGTTAGCTGTAATCTTGTAGCTGAACTATCAGTCTACGAGGTTAGCTGTAATCTTTTAGCTGGACTATCAGTCCCCGATGTTGGCCGTACCTTTGTAGCTGGATTATCAATCCCGAGGGTAGCCGTAACCTTGTAGCTGGACTATCAGTCTACGAGGTTAGCTGTAATCTTTTAGCTGGACTATCAGTCCCCGATGTTGGCCGTAACCTTGTAGCTGGACTATCAGTCCCCGATGTTGGCCGTAACTTTGTAGCTGGATTATCAATCCCGAGGGTAGCCGTAACCTTGTAGCTAGACTATCAGTCCCCAATGTTAGTCGTAACCTTGTAGCTGGACTATCAGTCCCCAAGGTAAGCCGTAACCTTGCAGCTGGACTATCAGTCCCCGATGTTAGTCGTAACCTTGTAGCTGGACTATCAGTCTACGAGGTTCGCTGTAATCTTGTAGCTGGACTATCAGTCTACGAGGTTAGCTGTTATCTTGTAGCTGGACTATCAGTCCCCGATGTTGGCCGAAACTTTGTAGCTTGACTATCAGTCCCCGAGGTAAGCCGTAACCTTGAAGCTGGACTATCAGTCCCCGAGGTAAGCCGTAACCTTGTAACTGGACTATCAGTCCCCGATGTTGGCCGTAACTTTGTAGCTGGGTTATCAGTACTGAGGTTAGCCGTAACCTTGTAGCTGGACTATCAGTCCCCGATGTTGGCCGTAACTTTGTAGCTGGATTATCAATCCCGAGGTTAGCCGTAACCTTGTAGCTGTACTATCAGTCCCCAATGTTAGTCGTAACCTTGTAGCTGAACTATCAGTCCCCAAGGTAAGCCGTAACCTTGCAGCTGGACTATCAGTCCCCGATGTTGGCCGTAACTTTGTAGCTGGGTTATCAGTCCTGAGGTTAGCCGTAACCTTGTAGCTGGACTATCAGTCTTCGAGGTCAGCTGTAATCTTGTAGCTGGACTATCAGTCCCCGATGTTGGCCGAAACTTTGTAGCTGGACTATCAGTCCACGAAGTTAGCTGTAACCTTGTAGCTGGACGATCAGTCACCGATGTTGGCCGTAACTTTGTAGCTGGATAATCAGTCCTGAGGTTATCCGTAACCTTGTAGCTGGACTATCAATCCCTGAGGTCGGCCGTAACCTTGTAGCTGGACTATCAGTCCCCGATGTTGGCCTAACCTTGTAGCTGGACTATCAGTCCACGAGGTAAGCCGTATACTTGTAGCTTGTCTATCATTCAACGATGTTAGCCGTAACCTTGTAGCTGGACTATCGGTCCTGAGGTTAGCCGTAACCTTGTAGCTGGACTATCTGTCCCCGATGTT